AAGATGTTCTAGTAAATACTTACGAACTTAATATTGATTGAAAACTACCGATTCCCAATCTATATTCATTTTTATTGCATGGCAACGTATAAACGAACAGAGTAGAATTGTTTTCACATGGATAATAATCAAATCCAACAAAAATTTTACGTTTGAACCAAAAATTGTTTTGAAACGACGAGCACATTATTTCAGCATTTATCGATTGATTCAGATGATGCAGATAAATGTTGAATTTAAATGCTTTCAATGTTCGTAAAGAACTTAATAAATACTGCCAACGCTGGCCATTAATATAATCAATTGATGTTGATGTAAACGATAATTCTTTTAGATTTGATAACTGTTTTAAAACACACTCAGATTCATCGAACGATGTGTCTTTTAAACGCATCTCTAACTTTTTTAAACAACGTAAGTCATATACAATAATTGAATAACGAGAAGAATGTAACTTATCACTATATTGTAGATCGAGTGATAATGATTTAATTTTTGGTACGCAATAACTTAGTGCAGAAAAATCAAATAGCGATCTTAAACAAAGACGTAAATCTTCAATATTACTTTTGTTATCGTTCTTATCAAGGACGACTGGACAGCGACAGTTATTTAATATATATGTTTTTAAGCTTGACAATAACAGTAAATTTTTAAGCACGTTCACAGTTTCGTTTTCTAGGACAAGAACATGTGAAAATTCAATATGTAAAGATGATAAATATTTCATACGTGAAAGTTTTACTAATATTTGAGTAAAGTCATGTAACATTTCGTCATCGAAACATTGTATTCTTACTGATCGAAGTTGAACAAACTTTTCAATGTCAATTAACATGTGGAAATATTTTAGTTGCCAATCACCCAATTCTACAGTACGTATTTGACGCGAATAGTCCTTTAAAATGTTTGATTTTACAAAGTAATTTTCAAATTGAAATTTTGGTATTGATAAGAAATCCATATGAAGGAAAGTATCATAGACGATGCGAGTGAATCTCGAATTGAGATGTTGAAAACACCGATCAAGATCAATAAAACTGACATATTGAAATAGATATAAAATAAGTTCATCTGGAAATCGTTCCAATGTAGTCATCATGACCATTCTAAAACGAAATCCATTATTTCTCCAATTCACCCCCTAAGTTTAACTATTTTTTCGCGTTTCAATAAAAAGGCTTTAGATTAGTATCTGCATTCAATATCCTAAAGCGACAAAAATGTTTACAACCAACTTGATTTCTTTTTTCCTTTCTACTAACTTTAGTTCTTTATCATGATTTCTATGTATAACTGGGACGCTCTCAGATCAGGACAAATCGTACCGTTGTTCTCAGAATTGTCCTTACGAAAAAATTCTAAAAGCTGACCATGTGTAGATAGTGACGAAACATGATCTCAATTTTTCCGCTCTGTGAGACCTACCTCTATATCTTGACCGTACTCTATATTATGAAATTTGCATCGATTCGTCAGCTTGAATAGCTCTACTAACGAGGAAAGGTCCCTAAGTGTGCAATTGCTTTTTATTCGAAATTTAGTGGTCAGTAGGTAATCGACTATGCTGAATCCGAATATGACTCTCTTTGGGCCCCTAGGCCTCCAGAGTTCGAGTTTCTGGAAAATCAATTTTTCAGAAAGATAACAAAAGCCTTCCTTAATGACGCATGACTGTAGCTTGGAAAGTTCTGATTATAATGAGACATTTCCCAGCTCTGCATGACCTTTCTGTGCAAAGTTATAGAATTTACAAAAGCCCTAAACGTTCATTGCCAGCACAAAGCTACAGAAATAAGAAAT